TTTTTTTTTTTTGTAGTATAGTTTAGAACAAACCATACATTGTGCAAGTTGCCCAGTCCGGTGTATAATGTGAAGTAAGTGCTTAGTAAATTATAACACTGCGATGGCAAATAGTTTATCAGTTTGCTGCTCTTTGTAGTATAAGTTTGGCCTTTGAATAAATGATAAAAAAAGAAAGTTAGAGTACTATTGTTACCCTATACTAGCCAAATGAAGAAGATTTATAAATAAAAGCAAATTTACTACTCTTCTTGGAAAAAAGATATTATGAATAAAGAGCTCCTTTTTCACCCTACAAAATACCAAGACTCCTGGGATGAGGCCATTCTAGACTGCATGGGCTCTTAAAGTGTATTAGAATAAATCTACATTTCCAGGAACAAACAGACTTTCTGAGGGCAGTTCTACTCTGGGGCTCCTTCCTGGTTGGGGCCCATAAAATCCTCCAGGGACACTCACCTTATTGTCATCCTAGTGAATAATCCCTAATATATGCTAGTAAATTCACTCCAATAGATGAAATCAGGTTAGTCATAGAGTTTCATCTCTCCAAAACTTGTAAGAGTGTAAGCCTGCATTATAACCATAGCAAGCTATATACAAGGTCTGACAGTCAAGTTTGCAAGTTCATCCTAGAAAAAGGGCTATGTATCTCGTTGCTGAATACGTATTTCACTATGACAGTTTTGAGACAGACTGTGTTATGGTCCAGTATTTCAATTCTAGTAAATACAGTCCCCAGCATCCTTTCTGATTCACCTATGCGAGTTTCAGCTTGCTTGGCTTCTTGGTGTTGCTGGGAGGGCTTCATTTGTTTCCATCTGCAGGGATTTTACATTTCTTGATTTTTATGTTTCTCAAAACTTTCATAATGACCCACATATCACTATGGTTACCTTTGAGGTGCTCCCCTTGGGAAGCTATGCACTGATGCCAGTACCCAGTCCATCCTTCAAAGCAATTTTGGAACTCTTTTTTTGGAATGACCATCCGAGCTGTTGTCGTATGGCACACAAAAACATACAATAATAATGAACGCCACTCAGCAAGACCCTGCCCCATGTGGACACAAACACAGCTGTGAGAGACTGAGACACCAAGGTTAGGAAAGCTTCCCAGGTTGTTTGTACAGTGCTGCCAGCGTAAGCACACAGTGGCAAATTTGGGAACTTAATCATCAGACCTCATATGACAACAGCTCTGATGGTCATTCTAGAAAATGACTTCCAAAATTGGTTTAAAGGGAGAGCTAGGTGTTGGCATCAGTGCATGGCTTCCCAAGGGGAGAACTTCAAAGGTGACCATAGTGATATTTAGCAATGAGATATGTAGCACTTTTTCTAGGATGAGTTCATGAACTTAATTGTTAGACTTGGTATTCTGCTTTCAGTGAACAAAATCAAACTCCACTCCCTGCCAACAGTCAGTCCCCTTAGTATTTATAACTAATATGTTAATATTAAATAGTAATTTATGGCAGAACACCATTCATTATACTTGTTCCCTTCCATACTTCTTTCCGTCTGGACTCATGTGCAAGCAGGACCATTTGGAACTGTCTATTGAACTTTTTTCTTTAAAAATTGTGGTTAACTGCTGTGAGCTATGATGCCACCATACTCTAGCCTGGGGCAACTCTGTCTCAAAAAAAAAAAATTGTGGTTAAAAAACACATTACCAATGGCTTGACACCCATGGCACAGTGGTTATGGTGCCAGCCTCATACACCAAGACTGGCAGGTTCAAACCCAGCCCAAGCCTGCTAAACAACGACAACTGCAACAAAAAATAGCCAGGCATTGTGGTGGGCGCCTGTGGTCCCACCTACTTGGGAGACTGAGGCAAGAGAATTGCTTAAGCCTAGGAGTTTGAGGTTGCTATGACACCATGGCACTCTGCCAGGGGTGACATAGTGAGACTCTGTCTCAAAACAAAAAAACAAAACACGTAACATAATTTAACATTTTAATCATTTTAAGTGTACAGTTCAGTAGTGTTAAGTATATTCAGATTGTTCTACAATAGATCTCTAGAACTTCTTTATCTTATAAACTGAAACTCTATTTATTAACCAAGAACACCCCACTTCCTCCTCCCCCCAGCCCTTGGCAACCACCATTCTACTTTCTGTTTCTATGAATTTAACCACTTTACATATCTCATATAATGGGAACCACATAGTATTTGTCTTTTTGTGACTGGCTTGTTTCCACATTTAGCATAATGTCATCAAGGTTAATCTATTTTGTAGGCTGGGACAGGATTTTCTTCCTTTTTAAGGCTGAATGTGTTCCATTGTATGTATGTATATGTCTTTTTAAATTCATTCATCAGTTGATAGATAGTTGGGTTGTTTCCACATCATGGCTTGATCAGGTCCCAATTATTTTTTTGTTGTTGCCAATGGGGTCATCTTCATAAAATCTCTCACCAGCCCAGTATCATTACGTTTTTCCAGCTGAGTGCTGACGCTCACACCTGTAATCCTAGCACCCTCGGAGGCCAGAGCAGGTAGATTGTTTGAGCTCAGGAGTTCGAGACCAGCCTGAGCAAGAGTGAGACCCCATCTCTACTAAAAATAGAATAGTGGTGGGCACCTATAGTCTCAGCTACTCAGGAGGCTGAGGCAAGAGAATTGCTCAAGACCAAGAGTTTGAAGTTGTTGTGAGCTATGATGATGCCAGAACATTCTGCCCAGGGCGACAGAGTAAGACTCTGGCTCAAAAAAAAAAAAAAATTATAGATTGCTTTGAGTAGTATAGATATTTTAACAATGTTTTAACATTGTCTGCTGTTTCTTTTCTCAAGGTTTCTTAGTTCTTTCTGTAGAGATCCTTTACATTCTTTGTTAGGTATATTCCCAGGTATTTCATTTTCTTTGAAGCTACTGTGAAGAGTATTGTGTCTTTGATTTGGTTCTCAGCTTGACTGTTAGTAGCATATATGAAGGCTACTGATTTGTGGACATTGATTTTGTATGGTATCCTTGATCACTTGTATTCCTTGATCACTTCCAGGAGCCTTGTCGTTGGGACCTTGGGGTTTTCAGTATAAGATCATATCCATATCATCTGCAAAGAGTTAGAGTTTGACCTCCTCTGTCCCCATTTTAATATCCTTGATTATCCTTCTCTTGCCTGACTGCATTTGCTAGGACTTCCAGTGCTATGCTGAATAGCAGTGGTGATGGTGGACATCCTTGTCTAGTTTTCGGTGTAAGTGGAAATGCTTTCAGTTTTACTCCATTCAATACGATATTGGCTGTGGGTTTGCTGTAGGGGGCCTATTGAGTGTTCTTGTCAGAAAAGGATGCTGAATTTTGTGGAATGCTTTTTCTCCATCTATTGAGATGTTGAGAGCTTTTTGATAACCGATTCAATGTCCTTATTAGTTGTAGATCTGTTCACATTTTTGATTACTTCATTATTCAATCATTCTTGGTACGTTGTGTGTTTCTAGGTTATCCAATTTGTTGTACAGTATTCATAATATAATCTTTTTTATTTCTGTAATATCAGTTGTAATGTTCTTTTATTACATTGATATAATGTTCTTATATCAATGAAGTTGTAATGTTCTTTTATTCTTTTATTTCTGATTTTAGTTATTTAAATCTTTATTCCCCATTTAAGGTAATCTAGCTAAGAGTTTGTTAATTTTGCCAATCTTTTCAAAAAACCAACTCTTGGTTGATTTTTTTTTTGTTCTTTTTTTCTATTGGCTATTTTGCTTATTTCTGCTCTAATCTTTATCATTCCTTTTGCTAGCTTTAGGCTTATTAGTTTGTCCTTTCTTTAGCCTTAAGGTGTGATATCTTTCTTCTTTTTTAATGTCAGATTTTATAGGTATAAACTTCTCTCTTAGCACTGCTTTCACTGCATCCAGTAAGTTTTCGTATCCTTTGTTTAAATTTTCCTTTGTCAGAAGGTATTTTCTAATTTGCCTTGTGATTTCTTTGACCATTTTTTTTTTTTCTTTTTTGAGAGAGTCTCATTTTGTTGCCCTGTGTAGAGCTGTGGCATCATAGCTCACAGCAACCTCATACTCTTGGGCTCAAGTGATCCTCTTGCCTCAGCCTGCCAGGTAGCTGAAACTACAGGTGCTTGGTACAATGCCTGACTATTTTTTAGAGATGAGGTCTCGCTCT